TCATGCCTAAGGCGGGTCTAGAACTCACCATCTCCTGGTGATTGAACCAAAGTCACCCAGCTGGCTTTCATGCCTAAGGCGGGACTAGAACTCACAGTCTCATCCGGGGGAGGGCGGAGCTGGCGTCGCGACAATACGGCATGCGATCTTGGAGATCTGAGATCGCCGCCGATATCTTTGCTCCTGGATGTTCCTATTGGATCTAAACTGTCCCGAAGAGACGGTGAAAGTGAAGAGCGCATCCTGTCGATCCCAGGGATACCGCAAAGTCCCTGGTAGATCCGGGAGAAGCTCTTCTTGCCAGCGGCAAAGAGGCAGCCGTTAAAGCTGCTGAAGTTGGGACAGCTCCGAAACGGGAGAACAGAAAGAGAGAGTGTGCCGGTTTGGTGAGAACTTTTTCTTTATTCTAAGATCTGAAAGGACACCCTAAGGGAAAGAAAGAATCTGCAAAAGTTTTGACAGAAGTGATTAAGCGGCGATTTTAAACAGGAATGTCAAAGTAATGTTTTTTTTCTTATTGCTGGATTTTCTATATATGATCTTGTATTTTGAAACTGGACTGTTTTTTTCTTTTACATCTATTTTTTTTCCTCCTTTTTGATTTTGTAACATTTTAGGCTAGAGACTCCCTAGCCTAAATTTCTTTTTTTTTAAAATATCTTTTTATTTCTTTTTATTAATTCTTCTTGCATTTTGCTTGGAAAAGGAGTGGGAAAGTGAAAGCAAAGAAACTCTGTAACACTGCCAACTAGAGGCTTGGAAATATTCTATTTCTCTTGTGACCAGACAAAGCTGAGAAAGAAAGAACAGAGACTTTTTTTCAAGGACATTGCTATTGGATAAGATAGAGGGAAGAGCACGGGAGAGTATTATTGCAGGTGCTCTTCTGGGTTTCTATCAACAGCTGCAGTCTGGTGTTGAAGTTTATAGAAAAAGAAAAGGTGATAAGTTTCTGGAGAAGAGAGTTATAACAAGAGCCTTGGATAACTAAACAAAGTGCAGTGTGTTCTCTTGATTTTTCCTAAGCTGTGCTACCCCTCCTCAACAGTTTACTTTTTGAAATAGCTATTTGGACTTTTAATTCTTTGGGACTTGTCTTTGCTTTTTTTTCCTTTATGCTTGTCTTTGGAAGTTAATTTTTTACGTTTGCTTTTTATTTTAAAAGAAAAGTTTTAGTATTAATGATTCCCTTCCTTTTCTTTTTAAGGGAGTAGCCTTTTTTTCTTTTTTCTCTTTCTGCCTTTCTGGTACTTTTGTTTTTTCATCTACCTCCAATACTGGTTTTTTCTTTCTTTTTTTATCTTCCTGGCTTTTTTTTTCTTTTTCTCTTACGCAGCCTTTTATATTTGAGA